TGTCCATTTTCCCGAGAGGAGACTCTCTATTCCCCTCCCCTCAGAGTTAGTGGCCACTGATCTTCTGCTGAGTGACACAACGTGTAACAGAATACACCACCACGCTATTTTCCAGGTGGAGAAACTAATTTTACAGCTTATCAGGTTGACTTCAAACAAAAAATGTTTAACCTGTGAGCTCCATTTACACTCCATTACACTCTTGATTCAGACCCTACGGACTCAAAAAGGTGGATCAGCTTGGATCTCGACCATGTTCTAAAGTGCCGTATCGAGGGCCTCCCAGCACGTCAGTGCGTCTTCGTCCACTTAAACACACTCCCCTCTGGTTGGGATTTTTGATGTTTTGGCTTTGTGGGTTGTTAAAAGTATCTCTGAAAATATCATCATTATGCAAGCTTCTTTTGCAAATATGTGGCTGTTTCCTCATGATAAAATTGTACAGGTAGGAATATGAGCTCATGGGCAAGGTCTTTCCGTAATTTTATATGTTGTCAACCAGACATTGTGGGAGGGGAGAAAGTATTGCCAGTGCCGTTCCCTCCCACTGTGACTTTTGACTCAGGCCTCCCAAAGTTGATATGGAAGTTGTGGGCTTTTGAAGATGTTCTCAGGCACACCAGGTTAGGCAGGGTGGGTTCTATCCCATTTAAGTGGTGTTCTGTAAGCCCTAAGGCCTACACCATTATCCCCCACCCCATTGCCCCTGCCAGGCCTGCTCATAGCAGCCCCGTGGGACATAGCAGCACTTCACTGTCCCCAAAGCTTTAAACCTGTAAGGAAGCACCCTACTCCTGTGGAGCAGCTAGTGGGTTTGAACCAGCAACTCTTCAGTTTGCAGCTGAGTTTTAAAAGATGTACAATGAGCCTTCCCCCAAGAGATGTAGAACAATGAAGCCGAACTTCTCCCGCTAAGTCAATTCTGACTCATACCGACTCCACAGGACGTACAGAATCGCTGCACCAGGATTCCAACATTGGAAATCCTTACAGGAGGAGAATACCGCCTTCATTTCTCCCCTTCAGGGTAACTGGTGCGTTGGAACCACCAACCTTTGATCTATCAGCCCAACTCTTAAGCCACTAAACTACCAGACCTGCTCTATGATCAAAACCGAAATCAAGCCCGCCTTCATTTCTCCCCTTCAGGGTAACTGGTGCGTTGGAACCACCAACCTTTGATCTATCAGCCCAACTCTTAAGCCACTAAACTACCAGACCTGCTCTATGATCAAAACCGAAATCAAGCCCATGACCCTGCAATGGAGCCAGCTGGTGGCTGGCCCTCCAGGGTCTCTCAGAAGCTACGCATCGCATGGGAAGAAATTGCCCATCTTTTTCCCCAAAGAGCAGCTGGTGGATTCAAACCAATGCCTTTAGGGTCGCAGCACAGCTCGCTACAAGGACACAAGAGCTCTCTTCCCACAGCCGGAATGATTCAATTGTTCTCAATTATTAAAATGGCACCAAATCTACTGTGGTTGAGTTGATTGATCCAGACTTACAGCGACCCTCACGGGAGAGCGCAGAACTGCCCCGTTGTATTCTCAAGGCCACGAATCTTCACGGAAGCACACCACCATCTTCCCCTCCCGAGTGACCAGTGTGTTAGCAGCCAGACACTCGCTCACTGTGTCCCTCAGCCTCCCTGTGATGTTTGCAGAGGAGACAAGAGGCCACTGGAAAGAAGCCATCTTGCTATGAGACAACAGAGTCATGCCAAGGAACTCCTGGGGCCCCTGAACCCACAGAGACAAGAAATGTGACCTTCCAGTGGAGCCCTCAGAGGGGTCACAGCCCTCCACACTCCAACTTCCAGTCCCCAGAACCGAGAGAAGCTCATCTCTGTTCCTGAGATGTTGGACGTGTCTTCCAGGCCCACAGCTCCTGTCCTGGGTCCCAGTGGAGGCCGCCGAGCACACAGGCTGGACACCGGGGCCACGCTGGGGGGCTATGAGGGCCCAGGCCTGTCGGGCGGCCAGGGATGGGACGTGCTACCTGATGAACATTCTCTCCCTGTGGATCAGATGCAGGAAACACGAGCAGATTTCTGTCAACAAAGACCTCATCTTCTTGTCTCCTTGGTTCTCAAAACACACAGCCTTCGAGTCAGAACCAGCTTAGCTGACCCTCCAGTGAGTTTCCAAGATCATCAAACCACCGTGAGGTGGGCCCAGAGCTTCCTACAAACTACACCCCCAGCGCTCGCCTTCCTTCCAATCCTTGAGTGGGTTTCTCTGCTCCAGCTAAGTGTATGCAAACAGCTGACGAGGATTTTGGAATCACACGTCTTGATGCCAATGGGGAAGAAGGTGAGTTGTCCTTGATGGTGTGTGACCTTCCCCAGGAATGGAAGGACTAGGTTTGGTGTCAACAGCTATAGGGTCAATGTGACCCTGTTACTGGAAAAACGGCCCTTTCGCCAAATCCTGCCTCACAGGGCCACCATTGTTTGGCTACCTTCTCCCTCCCGTATTTCCATCCTGGTGAAAAACTGAGTTGGTTCGGGTTTTTGCAAAGGTGAAGTGGGTTTGCTGTCTGGTAAGCGTGGACTTCTCTGTCTGGAGAACTGAACCCAGGGTCCCAGGAGTGTGAGGCCAGGTGGCAGGGGAGCCCCAAGAGAGAGACAGAGGGTGGTGGTTCAAGCTCTTTAGCTCTGGTTTCCAAGGGAGAGGAGGAGACTTGCCCCAACATCAGGTCACTGTGGGAGTCCCCCTTTGTCCTCCCTGCTCCTCAAAGGCTCCACAGCATGTCCTTTTCAAAGGCAAACAAATTCAATTTGATTTTATTTTGAAACTTCCAGGATGTTTACCAGTCGGGCCTTTGAGAGAGAAGAAGGTTGGTGCACGAGGAGTGGAAAGGGGTTCAGGGGGTCCACCTTTTTATTTTACTATTCAATCATCATTATTAGCCTATAAATGTAACATTTTATGCATAATAGCTGGATGTCTTCTCAAAGATATCTACTTTCATACATCATGTTAACAATAAAAGCCAAATCAGATGGCTAAACCTATCATTTTTTTCCCACGAGTTTATTTACAAAACTCAAATACAAATTCAAACAAATTCTTTCCATTTCCCTCAGCCCTCCACACATCAAATCATACCACCCAATGATTAATCCCTCCGCCCCCGAACATCCACATCCCTCTACTTCCAGCCTCTCCCACCCCTCCTGGATCCTTATACTCAATTTATAATAACAGTCTTATACGATATTTATCCTTGTGGAACTGAGTTAGTTCACTCAGCATAATGCTCTCCAGTCCCTCCCAAGTTAGGTGATAATTTACAATGTTACTGCTCCTGCGTGCTGCATAGTATTCCATTGTGTGAATGTACCACCATTTCTCAATCCATTCGTTTGTGGTAGGACATTTGGGCTGTTTCCATGTTCTATCATTTTTAATATCCTCTAGTTAAGGCAAGCTAGAAAGTCGACCTCTTTTACACAGACTGAAGAGTACGCTCCAAAATAAAATAACTAGGAAGTCCAAGTCCACCATTGAGGACTCAGAAGAAAGCTCAGATGCAGCGGACATGTCCCGTGTGGCCGCCTGAATCTTCCTCTGCTCATTAGTGATTTGTCCCCCATTGTCCTGGCGGCATATCTGTCTTTCACTCTCTCCCACTGGCCTCCTTGGCAGTGACTCTTCCCCTGGGGGCGCAGGGTTTGCTGGAGACCCCTAGGTATGAGGCAGATTTGATCCTTTCGTTGCTGTAGATGACCCTGTTCCCTCCTGCACCCAATACAGACCATGGAATGAAATGGATAGACAAGGCTGGACCCTTTTATCTTTATAATCAGACTGTCCCAGACAGTGCCATCCAGTGTCACGTCTCTAGGTGCCCACAGCACCCGCCGAGGGTAACCAGGGTTCAGTCTGATGCCTGTTTCTCTGGGGAAGTGAGATGCCAAGGCCAAGGTCATCTGCAGCGGCTGTAATTGTGTTTGTCTCCATCTCATCAGCATTAACTCATAGGGCTGAAGTGCACGAGGCGGACGCAGGAGCGGACAGCTCTGTCTGCGGGTTAGTCAAGAGTCTCGCTGATATCGATGACAAGTTCAGGAGGCACAGCTGGGGACCAGCAGAGTGTCCCCCACATGACCTCGGCAGGGACTCTGTGACAGCAAGGAGGGTGGACTGCGAGCTTCCTTTTCTACTTTCTGGGGCTGAGACAAAAATGCCCAGCAGAATACTCCGAGCTGAGAACTCAAACCTGAGCCTGGAGATTCCGAGACCCAACGCGTCTTTGCACAGTCCCTCGCTGAAAGATTGCGAGCCCCCCAGTACGGGCAGCAGGGCAGAGCTCTGAGCCGAAGCTTGAGGGGAAGGCCGGACCTCACACGTGTGTATGTGTGCAGACCCCCTCACCGACGTGTACTCCCACACGTTGACAAGCACACAGATGCACACACACTCATACACACCCGTGTAGGCACACACATACACACGAGCCTGCATAGACACTGTGGCCACGCATACTTGTACGTGGACCTGTGTGCACATGCTCATGTAAGCGTGTACGCAGATGGGCCACACACAAACACATGTGTACACATGCACACAGACATGTCCATACTCAAGTGTGTAGGTGCACACACTCACATTAACACCTGTAAACTCACACCCACAGCAGTGCAGGCTCACACACCCTTGTGCATATTATACACACACACACACGCGCGCACACACACGCTTACACAGACTTGGCTTTCCGGGACAGCAGAGACTCCCCCTTCCCCCAGGCCCTCCTCTCTCTCTGGGCCTCAGTCCCAGCATGCGGTCTGGAGGATAAAGTTGGGGGGAGGCTGACTGAATCACTCCAGAGAGCCCCAGTGGTGGGGGGTCTCCAGTTGCCAAACCTCACTACACCCACAATGCCTGCTTCTGTCCCTGTGGTGTCCCTTGTCCTCCCCCTGGCTGCTTGGGTGGAGCACAATGGACAGAGGCCCGGCCAGACACACAGGCACTAACAGCCTCTGTCCTTTGCAGACGCACGGTGCCCTATGGCCTGTCCAGCTACTGGGGAGGCCTCCGGAGCAAGCGGTCCCTGAAGCCCCCCACAGGGCGTCCCCAGCCCCCTGCTCGGACCCCCTGGCGCTGCACCTGTGTGGACAGAGGGAACCAGGCCTGTGTACGCTTCTGCTCCGCAGCACCGGCCGGCCGCAGGTACGTCACAGCCTCTGCCAGGCCTCTCACCCTGGCTAACTGTGGTCGGGGTCTTCTGGGAGGGGGTCCGCCGGTGCTGGAGATTTGTTGGCTTACTTGGCAATCCAGTCCTGACCAGAGTGGCCTGCGAGGGAGGCCTCAGGGGTCGCAGGGCCCACATCCCTGCTTCTTTTCAGAGAGGTAGCTACGTGGCTGCAGCTGCGTCTTGTCTCCAGACGTATCTCTTCGGGCCTTTGGAAAGAAATTGAGATTTGCCGCCAACATTTGAAAATGAAATCATTTTTTAAAGTTTATTTTTAGCTTCTTTTTTAAAAGCAGATGGGCCGTTGGCTTCCCTGGGCCCACACTCTCTCGTGACCACTGCAGGATGGAGCCGGGGCACTCACATGTGACCACTGCAGGATGAAGCCAGGGACGCCATCTGCTTGAGGGGCCTGCAGTGTCTTTTTAACTTCTCATTCAACTAACTCAGTGGCCCCTCAGCCACCAGTTTGCAATATCAAAACAACCTACGACCTCCACCCAAACCCAGCGCCGTCGAGTTGATTCCAACATAGGCGACACTCCGTAGTCTTCTGAGGCTGTAAGTCTTTGTGGAAGGACACTGCTCATCTCCCAAGGAGACGCTGGTGGGTTCGAGCCACTGACCCCTCAGTTGACAGCCTGACACATTGTGCTCTCAGCACTAGCACCTCTTACACAGTATTAATTAGTCTATTAATTTTATTGGGTCCCTCCAGTTGGAACCAACTCTTAGCTGACTGTCTAGTGGGTTTTCAGAGGAATTAAATTGCACAGGAGGAAGTTGCCCAACTTTCCCCCATGGAGCTTCTGGTGGATTCGAACCACGTACCTTTGCATGGGCAGTGCATTTCCACAGCACAAACAGCCAGAGCTCCTAAGCCTATTCAGATGATGAGAAAGACAGAAAAATTGTGAGAATGATGAAACAGGACACAGCGACATGAAGGGAACTCATGCTGTTGGCAAATTGACGCCCATGAACTTGCTTGATCAGGGCCTCCCATTTGTAAAGCATGCTTTTCCTCTGAAGTGAAGTGCAGGTGTGTGCAGGTGAGCGAGGTGGAGGTGTGCTGTGGAGGGTCCACCCCCCACAGGAAACAGGGCTCTGCCTCAGACCCTCCATGCGGGGCATGTCCGCAGGGAGGACATTGATGGGCTGCAGGCAGAAGAGGAGGTCTACACAACCCCTGAGCTTAGCCATCTGGGCGTGCAAGTGACACACACCGCAAAGCCAGCCTTCTCGCCCCGCACCCCAGGGCATCAGGGAGGCCAGGCAGAGAGGAGAGGCCCGACCGCACGGCAGCATGCACTTGGAGAAAGTGTCTTCAGCTCATTATTCTGGGAGCAGGAAGGCTGAAGCTGTGGACAGATGGTCCCTGTGTGTCCCCTGCCCCCAGGCTGGCCTTGTGTCCTATCAGCTAGGGACCCGGCCTCATATCTTTTCAACTCGAGTGTGCTGAACCTGGACGAGCTTCTCGGCATGCTGGTGGACACCCTCAGGCTTACCCATCTGGTCCCAGGCTTCCCTCTGGCCACTGTGGCAACCCCTGGTCTTGTACAGGCTCCTTCTTCGTGCCACTGGCTCTAGGCAGAAGTGAGTTACTGCAGCGAGGCACCAGCCCCTCCGGACTGTTCGGTGACTCTGGCTGTTATCTGTGACTGCTCTGCATTCGTATGCAGGACCCGGTGGGTCTCTCAGCCACATTGGGTGAGTTTGCCATCCTGTCCATCGAGATGGTTATTAACGACCAGTGTGTCTGTGGTGCCATGGCAATTGATGCTCATAATCATTGCAGGAAGCTCCACTGAGTCCTGTGGGGACGAGCCAGAGGAGAGTGGGCCTTGCTCAGGACACAGGAGACTGTCCAGACTGGTGGCAGATTGCTTCTAGTGGTCCTGAGAGGAACCTGCCTGCATCTATAATAAAAATAGAGCGGGGGTGGAGGGGTCCCTGGAGTGGATGAGTCAGACCCCAGCTGCCCCTCCAGCATCTTTCCAGGCTGTTGGCTCGTTCTTTCCCCACTGCTCTGAAACCATGGCGCCTCCTGGGAAGGGGGATTTGATGAGAGCCATCCATCCCTCCCATCATTTATTCAGTTGCTCATGTATTCATTCAGCACAGATTAGTCAGCACCTGCTGTGAACCAAGAGCTGGTCACGAAGCTGGGACCCAGGGGAGCGATGACAGGTTGTCTGGCTTCATGGGGACACAGACAGCAAGCAAACATGGAAAGCAGGAGAATGGAGATGCAGGTGGGGCGACTGTAGATGAAGCAGGGACAGGCTGGCTCACAGGGGTCCTGAGGCCCAAGGCATGCAAGGTGAGCTGTGAACTGGGTGGGTTCCAGGCAGATAGACAACAGGTACACGGACCCCGGGCTGGGATGGCGCTGAGAGGACAGGTCGCCTGACAGCAGAGCTGTCCACTGCCTTGTGAGGTGCCCTGTGGGCTGCAGACAGGTGTCTTAACTCACCTGCTTATTGTAAGGTCCCAGGCACCTCAGAAGACAGGCCTGGGGATGGACAGCCAAAAAATGACTCGGCACCTCTGCGGAGCTTGGGAAGCCCTGATGGTATAGTAGCCTGTGTAGATGCAGTTGGCTGCTAACTAAAAAATCAACAGTTCAAACCCACCAGCTGCTTCATGGAAGAAAGACGAGTCCACCTCTATGAAAACCCCAGGCCTGGAGACCCTAGGGAGTGGTCTTCTTATTACCCGGAGACCCTGTGGGGTATTTCTCTCATGGCCTGGACACCTTGTGGGGTGGTCCTCGCATGGTCTGGAGGGTTGTATGAGTCTAATCAGCTCGGTGGCCGTGCACCCTGAAAACAGAATAAGATGGGTATCCATTGCATTGCATTATGTGTAGGAGCCCCAGAGACAGAGTACACTGCACGTTGAACTGTTCACCGAAAGACCAGCAGCTTGGATCCCCCTGGCGCTCCTTGGGAGATAGGTGGGCAGTCTCTGAAACCCGACAGGAAGTCACCGTGGGGTGGAATCACGCTTCTTGGGTTTCTCTCCCCTCAGCGCACAGCTGCCCTCGGACGCAGGTGGAGTCACCGTGAGCAGAACCAACACAGGGGCAGCTGGATTGGTTTCATTGTCGCCCGTGTGTCACCTGCCTTCTTGAGGCAGAGGTTCCCAGGTCCTTGTCCTCCAGTGGACTCTGGTGATGGTCATGCAGTCCAGGCTGGGCAGAAGGCGGGGGAGCACACAGTGTCTGGTCTGCATGTGTTAGATTCACACCTTCTGGGTCCACTCAGAAGTCCTGGGATCACCTAGAAGCTCTAGCGATGAGACTCAGTTCAAAATGAGGGGTGGGCTGGTGACAGGACATGTCAGGCCCAGGCTCACCTCGCCTCCAGCGGGGACAGAGCTGCTGCAACGTCCCTTCTTTTCCTTTGCCCTCAGGCGGGTCGGCGGTGAGGACAGAGCACACCCATAGTCTTCTGAGCCCCTTCAGCGCGTGGACGACAGTATACTCCCTGGGCTCGGCTCGCCTGCTGGTGTCTCCCAGGACCCCTCTGGAGACAAGGCCACAGCACCCTGTCCTGGTGGGCATCCTGTTCCCAGGGGGGCATCTAGCCCATGGACACATCTAGCCAAATGTCCACATTTCTGAGCAAAAGGATGACTGACTGATGCTTAGAGGAGAAAACCCACTCCAAGGGCCCTCCTGGAGAGCCCCTCCTCCTGTGAATGGCCAAATCTAAACCAGCCCAGCCCCCAGCAGGAAAACCATTCCCAGATGTGCCCCAGAGCTGGATGCTGGTGGCTCCGGTTTCATGGAGGGGATTCTGGTAGGACAGAAATGGCGGAGTTTAAGTGGTCTGCAAGAGGGCTGTTTGCAGACGTGCGTCCATCTCTTAAAACAGCAGTGTCGGCTGTGGTGGGGGTGTGGTCAGTGTTTACGGACTCGCCCAGGTACAGGCCAGGCTGCTGCTCAATGAAGGTGGATGGGACATCCAGGTACACGGGCACAGTGTCTGGATGGACAGGTAGGAGTGTGAAGCTTCTAGAACTCAGCCAGAAATGTACAGCTGTGTGAGGGCCCTTCCCAAGAAGACATCAAAAGAGAGTCAAACCAAGAGAAGAAGGAAGACACCCACATGAATGTTAAAACAAAAGAAAGAGAAAACTCCTGGCTGCTGGTTTTGAACCCCTGGGCATGCACCAGGGAGCTTGTTGTCCAGGTGACTAATATTTTGTGTGTCCCTTTAGCCATCTAGGTCTTTCTGGTAGGTCCCAGGCCCCTCAGGTATGTTCCAGGTCTCCTATGGTTTCCAGGTTGCCTGAGGGTTCCAGTCCCCCCAGGTGGGTTCCAGGTCTCCCGAATGGGTTCGGGGTCTATAGTGGGCTCCAGGTCTTCAATGTGTTCTAGGCTCCCTTGGCGGGTTCCAGGTCCCCCAGGGTTTCCAGGCTCCTTGGGTGGGTTCCAGGTCCCCGATGGATTCTAGGTCCCTGATGGGTTCAAGGCCCCCTGGGGGGATTCCAGGTCTCCGATTGATTCCAGGCCCATTGAGTGGGTTCCAGCCCCCCAGGCCTGTGTGAAGAAGTTGCTGTGCAAACAGCTCTCACATGAAACACCAGCCTTTGAGATTTTGCTTTCTCCATCCTTGTAGGCCCCGGGAAGGCTTCTGAACAGGCCATGAACACAATCTTTTTGCAAATTATATAAGTTCCTGTTTGTGTGTAGCGTTGGCAAGCATGGCCTTTGACAGTTCACAATCTTTCAGCTACATCTCAACGATGGTGTTGGTCCCCGCTCCCTGGGGCTGGTTCAGGGGCCGCCACCTGTGAGTCCATGTCCGGGAGAGGACCCTCGCCTCCTCACAGGGTCAGAGGAGCTGAGGCCGTTGGAGGACATGCCAAGGTCACAGTGTGAAGAAATTCAAAATGACAAATGACTGAGTGCTGGTCTCGGCCCCGTGCTAAAGTCTAGATGCTTATTCCCCACGTCATTGCGAGTATCCAGATGAGTGTCCATCCGAGGAGAGGCCAGCATCAGACTGACTTGGTGGGGTTCTGTACAGGGGAGGGAAGTGATTATTTATTGTGAAAGCTATTGTCAAAGTTAACTCCTTTTTTGTGGCTCTTTTCAAGGTAAAGTCTGTGTATGTGTGCGCTTACATTGGGTCCAAACTCTTAGTCCTTAGAGCTGGAATTCCATTCTTAAGATACATGTAAACTGTGGTAAGAGGCTAATGCGGAGACCCATCTATTCTGTGGACACGTGGACAATACTAACTGTCAGATGCATAATAAAAGGATCTAATGGTCGGCGTTCCGGTGGCCTTTTCCTTGTTGTTGGTGCAGCCTGCCCACAGCTGCGCATGGATCACAGGAGAGGCTGGGAAGAAGCCCTGGTCTGGAGGTAGATGAATCTGAAGGTACTTGTGGAGCAGGGCGAGGGGCTGCTTGAACATTAGGGGTTAGGGGCCATCTGAGAGAGCAAAACACAAACCAACTGGGTGACACTGGTTTGGGAGGACGTTGGCTCCGACCTCGCATCTGGGCCTGTGCCAGCCATCAGGTCACCACAGCTGGGGCAGCATTTCCAGCACAGAGCCACTGTCCCCAGCAGGACAGACATCACCATCAGCCCCTGCAGTGACGTGTCTTCTGCAGGGAGCTGCAGAGACCCGGACTTCTTGAGCACTGGTGGCCAGGCATGAACACACATTTTGTTGGGCCATCTCTTTTCCATTTATTTTTTAAATGCAGCCACAGAGAAGCATCATGATTTATTTACTGCTCTTAATTTTTGGTGTGGTGAAATGTATGCAACAAAACATTTTAAACATTATTTACGGGTACAGTTTGGGCATTAATTATAGTCCCCACGTGTGAAAGTCACTGCGGTTGATTTTCATGTTCTTGTTCTTGTCGCTCCTAACAAAAACCTTGTCTCGTCTAAACAATACCCTCCCCCCTTCTCCCAACTTCAACACATTGAAACCTTCACTACGTACAAGGTATTGGCTGAGTTAAGCGTGTTATGAAGGAGTGAGGTTTGCTTCATTTCCTTTCTCCCTCCCTACATCCTTCCCTTCCCTGTCCTCCACTCCCTTCGTCATCTCCTTCCCTCCTCCCTTATATCTTTTCTCCCCATCTCTCGCCCCTCCATCTTCCCCCTCCCTTTCTCACCTCTTTTCCTCCTTCTTTTGTCCTTCCCCGCCCTCCTCCTCCTCTCTTTCCATCCCTTCTCCTTCCTCCCGCCCTTCTTCTCTAGCCATCATCTCCTTTCTTCTTCCTCCCCTTTTCTATCCTTCCCCCATACCTCCCTTCCTCTTTCCTTCCTTCTCTCCAGGACAACCAAGAGTCAGAATGGTCGGAGGCAGGAAACTGGACAGAAAGACACAACCAGACCACCAGTGACAAAGTCGAGAGAAGGCTAGTATTCAAAGTATGTTGGAACACTGTCCAATCTGAGAAAACCCAAGAGCCTTCTGCCTTAATGGAACTTATTTCTAAAGATTGTACTATTGCTAGATCTGGGTACTAATTGATTCTACAGGACATGAAGCAAAGCAATGAAGTTGCTTCTTGTGTTGACTTATGATATCAAGAGAGACCTCGGCTGTGGAGTACTTATGAGCTGCAGACCCTGGAGGAAAAGAAGGTGCATGGTGCTTGGTAGAAATGTCCGGTCCACCTGCAAACCTCAGATACAAGGGGGTGGGAG